GCATTCTCCCAAAGCATTTGGTTAAATGTTCTCACCTTTTGGGAAAAATTCCAAGTTCCTGATTCTCTCTTATTTCCCCCACTCCTCTCATCCGTACTCAGTCTCCCTGTGCTCTGGCTATACCCTGTGCTACCCCAGCTGGGTTCTCACCAGCCTGCCAACTCCCTTGATGCAGCACTGGCAGAGCAGGAGCTCAGTACGCTTTCTGGACTGATTAAATCAATAACTGCATCCTAACCATCTTTTTGGATCATCTATAGAGGTTCTGACCTCAATTTCCATATACTCAACTTTCTGTTGAAGCCTCCTATGTGCCGGGCACTAATATAGGCTCTGGGGATAAATGTGTGAACAAAACTGTTAAAGTCCCTACCTTTGTGGGAGTCACATCCCCAAGGAGACTTCTTTCACTCTTCCAGTGCACTCAGATCTGTCTTCTAAACATACAGCATTTTTGTTGGTTAATATGCATTTGAGTTGGGGATGTTTTTAAGTTCTTAAAACATTTATTGAATGTTTACTCTGTGCCAGGTATTGTTGTAAGCATTTTCGTTCCCACAAAACTGCAGGATGCTCTATCAGCATTCTCACTCTACAGATAAGCTGCTGAGGAGACAGACACAGAGGTCTGGACCCTCACCCTTGGTCCTGACCCAGCTACAGATGTCTTGATTTCAAGGACCCTGCACATCTCTGCTGCCCTGTGTTGCCTCCATTGCTCTTGAGATGTACCTTGGACCTTAGTCTTGTCTCTCTTTGTTAGACATAAGTCCCTGGAATGCTGTGATCCCTCTTATACTCTATCACCATGACTCCTAGCACAGTCTGTGCACACAGGAGGCTGTTAATGAATGTTCTTTCCTTGGGTGCATGTCTTTTGGGGCTGTAACCCAAAAGTTGCTCTCCTCCAGGCCAACAGATTAAGCTCTTGCCTTTACATCTATAGTTGCATACACCTGGCACACGGACCCCACTCAGCAGACCTCAGACCCCCTTCTCCCCTGCTCTGTACCCCAGCCCAGACTGCTATAGGGCAGCAGGCCGTTCACTTCTGTCTGTGACATGTTTCATGGCCTCCCCTTCTCACTGTACTTCCCTCACCCTCACACTTCTTTTGATCTTGCAAATCCAGGCCCTTGGAGAAATCAGTCAGTATGAAATATGAAAACTGCTTGGGAAGTAATTGAAGAAACACTGTGACTTTTGAAACCCGTAGAGATAATGCTCACACCTTCTTACTCACGTTATTTAATTTTTAATGGCAGATTTAATTAATGGAGATCAGGTCTTCTGTCTTCAGATGTGCATGCAGAGCAGCTGGAGGGGCTGGAGGAGGGGTAGCTGTCTATAGGGCAGAGGAAGAGGTGTTCCCAAAGTGGGAAGCCCAAGAGTCTAATAGGAAAGAAAAGCTCCCAGATATAATGGCTCATGATTGTTGGGTGCTGATAAAGGGGTGAGGATTCAGGACTGTGCCCTCACAGGGACTTCCCAGCATCTGATGGCTCTTTTAGGGGCACAGCGACCTACCCAGCCTGAGGGAAATGGGGTTCCAGGAACTTTCCTGTACCTAGCCTAGCTGAGGAGAACTGCACTCCACTGACTACACAGCTGCCACATTGTCCCTTTAAAGAAAAAATGCCACTCCCTCCCTCAAAATCGAAGCCTTATGCACTCCTAGTTGCCCTGGGTGAAGCCCAGGCCTATGAACATGCAATTGAGGGTCTCTTGTGTCCTGGGCATCTCTCACCATCCCCTTCCCTGCCCTTGCTCCCTCCAGGCTTCTACAGCAGCAGCCACGGTGGTTCTTCAGCTGCAGGTGCCCCTCAGGCTCCCTTACGCTGCCACCTCTTCATGAAGCTCCTTCTCATTTAGCCCATTTTTGCTCATCCTTTGAAATTTGTTAACAAGATATATACCCTTTAGCCCAAGAACCTAGCTTCTGGAATAGATATACTCTATAGATATTCTCATTTGTGCACTGATTTTTTCCTTTCAGCATCCTTTTTAACTGTGGAAGACTGTAAGTGCCCTAGTGGATCTGTGTGGCCTGGGGTACGGGGTATTTGTCCATTCAGGGGAACACTGTTTATTCAGTAGGAAAAGTGGATGCAGTTTCTGAGAAGTGAGGAAATGAAGTGAGGCTCATCATGTCCACCCTGAGCATCAGGGACAAGTAAGCATGTGCGCTCATTCAGCTGCATGCCCACAGTATACAGTGGCCTCGCCCCGGGGGTGCAGAGGAGGAGGGCCTGGGATCTGGACAGGCCAAGACCCTCACTTCTCATCTTACACTCTCTCCTTTCTGCTTTTGGGTTTTAAACCATATATGTTAATTTTTCAAAAGCATTATTTATTGTAACAAAAATGATGCCTTACGGGTAGGTGTATAGCTCAGTGATAGAGCTCTGGCCTACCATGTGCAAGGTTCTGGGTTCCATTCATAGCACTGCAAAAGAGAGTGAGTGAGTGAGTGTGTGTGTGTGTGTGTGTGTGTGTGTGTGTGTGTGTGTATGATTCCCAAGAAGACAGTCTGACTCGTGGTTTCTGTCAGATTGCCCCTCAGTGCCCCACTGCCCATGGGAAGACAGGCCCAATGTCCTTTTGTAATTGTAACATTGTGTCTGAGCACCCCACAAGGCAGGGAGCAGTCTGTATTTTTTTCAGAATCCCTTAGCACTTACTGGGTTCTTGGGGTGAACACTGGGCCAATCCTCCTGGAAGCCCCTGTGATGGTGTGAGTCATGAAGTCTGCAGAAAGCCCTACTCCTGGCTAAGGAAGGAGCCCAGGCCCACTCCAGGCATCTCAGGAAGACCTGGTGGTTGAGAAGGCCGGTGAGTAGGAACTTGGCCCAGTGCTGCCCAGTTGTGGCCTGTAGACCTTCCTGTGCCACGGAGCAGTGGTGATGATGATGTCCATCACTGTGGGTCTGTGCAGGCAGATGAGTGGGCTGCTGAGTCATTGAGAAACAATAGAGGAAGCTGCAGTGGGGTAATCACAACCACTTCTTGGCCTGTGGGTAGTTCCTGTGACAAATCTTACCAACCACACGTTCAGGCTAATCTTGCAGTCTAACAGCTGCTCCAGGTTCCCTCAGGCTGGGTTGTATGTCTATGGGTAGGCCATACCAAAGGCTCCCAGCTTCTCCTGCCAGCCTACAGCATGTTGGGCCCATCTGAGGTGTGGGTCCTTCCTTTGAGAGGGACATCCATGGGTGACTGGACCTGGACACTGAAAAGCCTTGTGGACACAGCTACAGGAAAAGTTAGGCCCAAAGAGAAGGCCTGAACTGTGAGGTCATCGTATGAGGAAGAGAGAAACCAGGACCAGTGGGAGGCACTTAGGATTGAGTTGGTGCTATGTCCCAAGCCATCTCTACCATGCTGCTCGGTCGGTTAAGAAAACATGGCACAGAGGAAGTAAGTGGCTTACCTAGTTACCACAGCTAACGCATGCCAAGGGGAAAGTTAGAATGTGTTTCTGTGGATCACACCACATCCTCAGGAGGGCCAGAGACCAGAAGGCTCAAGTGGAGTCTCAGTGACCCTATCAAGGAGGTCACAAAAGAGCATCTACATGAAGGAAGAGGGGAGGCCCTGATTTAATTCATCTCTGTCCTAGTCTGCTCACCCTGGTCTGTCTGTGGTGGTGAATGTTGGACTGGTTAAGGCCAAATCATAATCTCTTGGTTTGACCCTGAGGGCTCCTAAGAGAAGGAGGAAGCCCTCTAGCTGGGCACCCTGGCGTCTTACAGACCTGACTGCAGGGTGCAAAGAGAGTCCACCTTTTGTGCCTTGTGTGTTCTGGGAGCACTGGCGCTCCCACTGAGGGAGCTGGGCTACCTCTCTGGTTTAGAAGAGGACAAGACACAGTGACATGCCTGAGCCCACTTAGCAGCTGGTGAGTGGGAGACCCAGAGTGGACTCCAGTCTTCTCTTCCCCTTCCATGCTGACCTCCTAGGCAGCACTTGCTGAGGCTCTGAGAGAATGAAGCTCCCAGGGAAGGGGAAGGGGGCCTAGTTGCAGCATAGACCTGCCTTTCATGCCTAAGGCAGGAAGGTCCTGCCCTCCTTGGTTGTCTTCTCAGAAGATCGGATTGGATTCCCTGGTGCACGGGAAGTGCTGTCCCTGTGGGACCGATTCTGAGACCTTTCACTTCTTCCTGTGTCTAAGGGCTGGCCTGTTCCTTTTGTGCAGGCAGGGCCAGGCTAGGCATCTGCATGCTAGAGACGGACTCTTGCCAGCAGGCGTGTAAGAGAGCATAGCTCTGTGACTTCGCAATCCCTTCCCTGCCACGTGACTGACTGGGCCTGAGCTTCTGCTAGCTCATCTGTAAAACAGGAATAATCCCTGCTGTGTGTGGCTTTGAGGAACAAATGTGATCAAGTCTGCAGAGGGTCTGGCCTCAGGCAGATCCCATGTGTCCTCCCCTACTTCCTTTGTCATCCCCACCGGGAGGTCTGACCATTGCTACCACCCTGCACCTCTACACAGGGACCACCTGGCTCAGGTTGCTTCATTTTAGAATCCATTTCCTGCAAGAGTCAGCCTTGAGGCTTGGCCTTTCTGCCACCCAAGTGTCTGTCCTTTGTGTTTATCCTTTAAAGATGGTAAATGTGTTAGGTTTTGTCTGTCCCGACTATCCCCCTTTGTCGGTATAGCATAAAAGCAACCATAGCTAGCCTATACACAAATGAGTATGGCTGTGTGCCAGTAAAACTTTATTTACAAAAACTGCAAGCAGGCTTTGCCTGTGGGTTGTGGCTTGCCAAGCCCTGAATTAGAGGGCCTTGTCGTGTTCTTCCAGTGCTTGCTATTCTAGGATTCTGAAGGAGCGGGCGATACGTGTTGGTTGCTGGAACCCAGGCTCTGGATTAATCGCCATTCAGCATTGATGCTGGTCAAGAAATTAGCATCTGTTGGTTTCTAATGTGGTTGCATCCCATGAGGGCCAGAGGGAAATTTCAGTTTTTGGTAACTAGTTCTCTTTTTCTTTTTGTAGAATGCGGAAATGTATAAACTGTCTTCACAGCAATTCCATGAGGCAGCTTCGAAAGCAGAGAGCACAATAAAGTAAGAATTTGCTTATTGTTTTTTTGTAAACTTGCCCTGCATTTGTAAAAATCCCTTCATGTGGCTTGGAAGCCTGCCACCATCTACCTGATTACAAATTTCTCTAATAACATAGACAACCGTCTGTTCCTCAGCTCCCTCACCTGGGCCTGAGGTAGCCATTGGCCATCAGTAATTGACCAAATTAGTACTCAACTCTTCCCAGAAGCTTGGCAAATTGGAGTAGGGTTGAGGTCGACTTGCAGAGATGTTTCGGTTTTGCTGTCTAGATAGGTGAGGAGTGGTGATCAGGCCATAGGGAGCCAGTGGAAGCTGCTGGCCCTCCAATTCATGGAGGGTTTTTGGAGTTGTCAGCATGTCCTCTGTGGACACCTCCTGCACTCCTGGTACATGTAAAGTTCCTCTGGAATGTGATACTTGGGATGGGCCAGGCTTTACTCCCAGAAGCTCAGAGAATGGCACTGTTCTCAGTGGCAGCACTCTGTCCAGTTTGTTATGCTCCTGTGCTGTCCATGAACACTGAGCCAGAGCTGCAAGGGACCATGGAAGTATGCACTGTGTCCATTGCAAACGTAACTTTGCTTAGCTTGGGGAGTAGGTCCCTGAGGGTGAGATGGTGATCTCCGTGGAGGGGGAGCCAGGCTTTGAGGGGCCTGTGTATGAAGGAGACCCTGGAGACTCTCACCAACCTTCTATTCCCAAGAGCAAGTTAGGGTGATTCACAGACAAACCTATGTTGGTACCAAGTGGTTGGCTCTGGCACCATGCAGAGAAAATGTCAGATGGGTTTGGATAACTCGAAGGTGACAAAGTACTTGTGAAAATGCTGTGGAGAACGGTGTGAAGAACCAGGAGGACAGTATACAATCAGAACAGACCCCAGAGTCTGGATCAGTGCAGGGACAGCATAGGGAGTTTTATTCCTGAGGGCGAAACATTAGAGCTAAGGGACTGCTGACTGAGGCAGTCCCAAGGAAAGAATGAGTTTGGGGAGAAGAAACAGTGATCTTGAAATTTCAAGTCCAAGAGCAAGAATTGGAACACTAGAGAAAGAGACTTCTCCAGGAGGCAGACAAGAGAAGGTGTTGGGTGGGAGTAGCAGTTCTAGGGATACTGAGACCCCGCTGGGCTGGTGTGTGAGTGAGCACCTAAGAGGCACATGCACCCTGAAGGACAGAGGGCAGTTCAGCTCCCCTGTAGGATAGGGTGTGCGCCACCCTGCTCTTAGACGCCCTGTTCTGGCTGGCCAGGGCCTATTTCCGAAGTGCTTCTCCTGTGCCTCGGGTTCTTCCTGGGCTTGAGTATACCTAGAACATCACATAAGTGAGGGTTAGGGAGAGCCATAGTGAAGAGTGTGCTAACCTTCCCAGGGAAGAAGCTGGGGTGGTGGTGAGGGGTAAGCAGCTTTATTATCAGTGAGGCACTGTCATCTGCCTTGGCAGATTTGACTTCCTTGTCACAGTCTGTCTCCTCATCTCTTCTGAAAGCAAGGTAGAGATGCATGAGCGTATTTCCAATCTCAGTGAAGTCGGAGGTTTCCATTTGCTTATGACATCTCTGGATAACAGCTACTGCCATTTGCCAAGCATATGACTAAATGGTGGCACTTTCCAGACCTTGTTCATCTTTGGTTTGCTCTGTCATCTGCTTTGCTCATTCCATTTTACAGACAAAGTGCTGAGGCCAGAGAGACTGAGACCTTCCCTTCTTTTTCTGTGGATTGGATCTTGAGTGTCCTTCAAAGGCCCTTGTTGTTGAAGGCTGTAACCAGCTATGGCACTTGGAGCAGTGGTGGAACCTTTGGAGGTGGGGCCTAGCAGGAGGAAAATGGTCATTGGGAACACCCTTGAAGGGAATACTGGTACCCAACCCTCCTTTCCTGGTCTTTGCTTCACTTATGCCACGAGGTGAGCAGCCTCCTCTGCCACACTCTCCCCTATGCTGCTGTGCCACAACAGGGCCAAGTGACCATGAGCTGAAACCTCCAGAATTGTAAGCCAAAGAAAACCTTTCCTCCATACTTGAGCTGACCATCACAGCTGTTTATGTGGCAGAGCTGGGTCAGTCTTAGCTCAGACTGCTGGGCAGTCATGGTCTTCCCACATCCACATTACTGCTTTTCCTGGAAGGCCCTCTCTGCACACAAGATAGGCAGCAGATGGCTCCCAGGCCTTCAGAACCAAGTGGGAATGGATACCATCTCTTTCTGCTTTCCTGAGTCCCAAGCTTGCAGGTGACAGATAGTGAGGCTCTCAGCCTCCATAATAGCATGAGAATGATATATCGTTATCACAGGTAATAATAATAATTTTTTCTCCTATTCTGTTTCTCCAGGGAATGCTGACTAATACACTTAATGGACAGCTCTTTCCTTATTTCGTAAATGGAGAGATTGAGGCTTAGAGATACTAGCTAAACTATAGATCCATAGTATCAAAACTTTTTTTCAAAATTGGTTTTGAAATTCACAATTTTTAATTTATTTTATTTTGGAAAGTAAATGATACATGTGCCATAGGCTGTATAATAGTACAACAAGGTATAAGACAATACTGGGAGCAAAACATGGAATGCTTCATACTAAGAGGGATAAGATTATAAAAGCTTGTGTCAGTTCAGGAATGAACTATGAGCTATCGAGTTTTCAGGACTTTGTGGATTCAGGAATTTCAGACTTGCCACTGTACCAATTAGCAGACTGGCCATTGGTGGATTTGAGTTTTGAATATCGTCAAGGTGATTTCCAAGCCTGTGTACTTGCACTATACCACCCTCCATGGTGGATACTTTGTTACATAATAGAAATGATAACAGACTAAAGACAGAAAACTTTGGATCTATTTATGGCTTAAACACATATCCTGTGACTTTCTGCAAATCATCTATTTTCTCTTTAGTTTTCTTATCTATAAAGGACAAATTATTAACACTTTAGAATTTTAAGATACTGATATTATTATATAAATAAATTACAATATTTAAATTTTTTTTTAAAAAGAAAAAGATAGGCAGCAGAGGGAGCACCAGGAGCCTGCCTTGGCTGTGTAGTTGGGCAGACTGGCTCGGACCTCAGTCCTGCTACAGCCTTCATGCTCCTGGGTAAGTCACACCACCATTTTGGGCCTAAGACTTGTCACCTGCAAACAGATAAGCATGGTCTTGGAGAAAGGAGACCTAGAATGTCAGCAGTCATACTTGGTAGTGGTGTGACTGTGGGCTATAGACTGAGTCTGCATCCCTCAGAAACCAGTCCCCAGTGTAGGACCTCTGGGAGTGCTCAGGTCATGATGGCGGAGCCTTGGTGAAAAGAATTAGTGTCCTTATGAAAGAGGACCCCAGAGCTCCCTGTCCCTTACACCATGAGAGGACCCAGAGAAGGCCCCATCCATGAGCCAGGAGGCAGGAACTTCACCATACTGTATCTGCTAACACCTTGGTCCCGTGGGCCTCCAGGCCATCAGAACTGTGAGAACTAATGTCTGTGGTTTATAAGCCACCCCATCTATAGCACTCGGCCGTAGCAACTGAACTGGGCTTGCACACTGTTATTAATAATGGCAGTCACTTGAATCACTGTACTATAGCACCTGCTTGGTACAGAGTAAAACAGATGTGATAAGTAAATTGAGTTTCCAAAATACTCTGTCTTTTCCCAAATGTAGTAAACAGGAAGCAATGTAAAGTTAGAAACCATTTTCCTTAAATATCAAGGGAAAAAATCTTTGGGAGATTTTTTGGATTAGCAAATGATTATAAATTGCATTGTAAATGTCATGGAAAGAAACGCCAAATGCTGGCAGCAGTAATGTTGGGAGTTTTCTTCCAGGACAGTGGAACATCTTTAACAGCTTTGAGTGAACTGAATGGTTACTTAGAGGGACACTAGATGCCCATGTTTTCATTCACTCATGGCTGCTACTTGCCAGGTACCCTGTCAGGACCTGAAGATAACAGTGAGGAGAAAGACGGTCTCTGCCAGCAAGGAACTTGTAGTAATATTTTAAACCTAACTGTACAACAAACGATTTCCCAAACAACCATGGACTGTAGTGACGAATGCTGTGAGAGAAAGAGTACACGTCAGAGGAACCTAACCTGACTTGGACTTTGGAGAAGGCTTCTCTGCGGAAATGACATTTAAACTGACTCTTATGGTGAGAAGTTTCCCAGAAGAAGGAATGGGAAAATTCATTTCAAGCAACTTTTGGCATGTGCAAAGGCCCTGTGACAAGGGGTATTTTAGCTTACTTAAGGAATTGAAATTTGGCCTGTTCTTTCAGTTGGGCTGGGTAGTAATGGATGAGAAGAGAGAGACAAAAATGAAGTCCCAGGAAGTCAGCACGAGCCAGACCATGCAGGACATCATAACTGTGTTAGGGATTTTAGTTTTATTCTAAGAGTGTTGAGATACAGTTCTGTGCTGCATACCGGTGTTTCAGCTAACAATGAGCCACATATACAACAGTGGTCCCATACCATTCAAATGGAGCTGAAAAGTCCCTGTGGCCCATCAAAATGTCATAGCACCACATCAGTCACACTCATATCTGTGGTGATGATGTGTAAACAAACCTACTGCACTGTACTGTTACTTTACAGCGTGTGGCTTCCACTTACAAGAGAAAAGGCTTAACAGTCTGCCATGCCATCTTCCATGCAGCAGGAGGCCACCTCGGGTGATGGACTGTGCCATTTAGATATGTGCAGGTGACTCTGTGATGTTCACACAGGACAAAGCCACCTCACAGCTCATTTCTCAGAACCTGTGCCCACCATTAAGCAGCTCACAGCCATACCATTTCCAGCTTTCCTTCTTATCTGATTTCTACAGTTGAACCGGCAGACATCTCAGCCTAGAAATACCGATTTAGCCACAGTCTCAGTTTGGGCATGTTGTGTTTTTGTTATAATTCAGTTCATCTTTTTTCTAATTTTCATTCTGATTTTGTCTTTTGAAGAAGTGTATTGATTAATTTCCAAATCTTTGGGAATTTTCTACT